TGTAGCTGTAGTGAACTTAATTTAAAAAAATTGAATACATGTACGTAAGTATGTTTTAAGTACAGTAAAAGTCCAAAAATGCGGATGCCAGGAATCCGGACCACCCGAGAATCCGGACTTTTCGAAAACTCAAATTTTTTAAATTTAGCAGGCTTTTGTGGGTTATGTGAATGAATGGAGTTGCTTTAAAAAATTAATTTACATAATTCTAATAATAAAAGTAATTGTAAATTATAGGTAACTAATTTTGTTAGTTTTGTAATTAGCTTGAACTGAAATGTAAAATTTGAGGCACTATAAATCTTTTGTGTGTATGTGTGAATGCCACAGCTGCACAGCGACAACAAAGGACCACACGATCGCCACTTTAAAACAAGCAATCAAACTGTGACAACGTATGTAATTTTGAGTCCTACTCTTTCCATGTACAGAGTACAAGCCCATAATAATGGCCCCTAAAGTAGATAAACTTCGTTGTGTGAAGAGAAAGAAGAACACATTGAAATTGAGTGACAAACTTGAAATAATTAAGAAACTAGAATGTAAGGTGAGCAATGCTGTTCTAATGGAAACATACAACATTGGAAAGTCTACAATTTATGATATAAAAAAGGCAAAGAATAAAATTCTAGAATTCACAGCTTCTTCTGAGCCTTACAATAAAATTGCTGAAAGAAAAAGTTTACATTGGCCCAAATTAGAAAATCTTGATAAAGTGTTGCACAAATGGTTTTTGTTAAAACGATCAGAAGGTATGGCAATTTCTGGGCCGATGCTTATTGCCAAAGCAAAGTCTTTTAAGGAGCAAATGAACATTGAATCAGAGTGCGCATTTAGTGATGGATGGCTTAGGAATTTCAAGACTCGTCATGGTATTAGACAGTTTGTTTACATTTTTGTCTAGCGTTGACCTTATTTTTCTTTAAAACTGCTCGTTTTGACAAATGAAGCATGCTTTATTTGCTAATGAATAAACTATCAAAATGTACCTGTTCATCTCTTCTTTATTCCTCCTTAAATTTTAATTTTAAAAGTACTGCCTGAGAATCAGGAAAATCCGAAAATCCGGACCGACCCAATCCCCAAGCAGTCCAGATTTTTGGACATCTACTGTAATGCTATTTAATGTTAATAAATGAAACACTAGGAGTAGCTAACCACTAATGGTAAAGAAATAAGGCGAGACGATTGGGAACGCCAAAGTATGAACAGTAAGTGCGTACATGTGAAAATCTATCATCATTTCTCAACATATGAATATGAAAACAACACTTATTTACTGTTCATATATGCTTTGAATATTATTTACGCATGTAAAACTTAAATTCTATTCACCAATGGCGGTAAAGTCTAAAATATAAGGACAGCCAATGAATATTGTGCGAGTTTTTACTCCGATGACGAAGTCATCAGGTTCAACTCTGGCTGAAGCTGTAGCTTTCCATAAAGCTGTTGCTGAAACTGTTACTGAACCTAAAGTTGATGTTGAAGCTGCTTATGATGCTGAATTTGATGGTGTAACTGAAGTTGATGGTTTAGGCCTTCGAATATTAAAGCTGTCGAAAGAACCTTACACAGCTGCTTTCTTTTCTCATTATACATCTTTATGTAGAGATCATTTGTGTTTATTTAAATTTTAATGCTTTGTTCTATTAATGGATCCACTTCAGAAAATATGTTCATTGCTTGCTCCATATAATATCCACAGACCTGTCACCTTTATCATACCGTTTTAACACATCTAGTTTCTCAACTAAGCTTAGACACTCTCTATTAGCTTTTGAAACAGCACTACCATCACTTGCTCATGTTGAATAGGGATGCAGAAATGCTGTAAGAAACCTGAGAAAGTTTTTCTTCAGTTCCTGTTCCAGATGCGTGAAAATAAAAGGCCCGCCAAGCTCAGAGTGTTGTTACCATTCATTAGCAAGGCAGATTCTTTGCACAAGGCGCTCTTCATTTTTTTACAGTAATTTTTTTTTATAATATATATCGGGATATAGTTATTATCTATATGAAAATGTAATTATATTTTATTTTTATTATACAGTACTGTATTTTGGTCGTAAATACAAATGAAATAAGGATGTAAACTGAATTGGGTCCTAAATTATCTAGGGTTTCAAATACAAAAAGTTGTTGGACAAATCATTGTTATCCGAGGCTTTACTGTATATATGTATATATGTATGTATATATATATATATATATATATATATATATATATATATATATATATATATATATATATATATATATATATATATATATATATATATATATATATATATATATACAGTGAGTTCTGCTATAACGCGTGTTTTGATAACGCGAATTTGCTCTAACGCGATTTATGAATTCGGAACAATATTTGTATAACGCGATCGCTTGTTTGCTATAACGCGATTTTTGCTTACTATTTCTCCAATTTTGTGGTATTAACTGTGAATATGGTAAAGAAGAATATCTCCAAAAAGCGTTCTGATGATAGAATTCCCGGTGATTATCGTAAAAGAAAGGATATAACACTTGAAGAGAAGCTCGATGTTATCAACCTCAAAATCACCCTTCTCCCCCATCAAGTTACATTCATATTTTTTCAAGGTAAAGTGTTAAATTTACTGTATGATTTCATTATTAGATATAAATGTAACATTTATTTAGACTGTGCTATCCTTTGTGTTAGGCTAACTACTAAATTTTTTCGATTTCGAGTAATCTGCACCTAACCCTATTTTCTCCATAAGCCCTGTTATTTCTATTACGCGATTTTCTATAACACGATATTTTACAAGAACACAATTATCGCGTTATAGCAGAACTATATATATATATATATATATATATATATATATATATATATATATATATATATATATATATATATATATATATATATATATATATATATATATATATATATATATATATATATATATATATATATATATATATATATATATATATATATATATATATATATATATATATATATATATATATATATATATATACAGTCAACCCTCACTTTACGCGGTCCCACATTCCGCGTTTCCACGTTTACGCGGTGCCCTGCCAGAACCCAGGATGCTCACATTCCGCGGTGGGTGTACCCCTTTACACGGTGAAGTATAATTTTTTTATTTTGCTCATAAAATTCATACAAATTATCCGGCCAGAATATAATTTACATTGCTGGAAGTCTTACAATTTGATGATCATTTTCAATATAAACATCATAGATTTTGCATTAGACATACAAATTTTAGATATAATGTTTACTCTTGAGTAATTATGTTATCTTTTGTGCAAAATATATGATATTTATATTCAAAATATTCCTGGTCTTACAAGGAATCAGCAATGTCAATTATATTATCATAACTTTAGTCTGATTTATTATTTATTACTAAAAAGGTAAACAATCTGGTATTCCCACACATTTATCTAGTAGGGACGTTGGTGGGGGGTGGGGGAGAGGGAGGGAGGGACCGGCGACCGACCATCTGTTACCGTGTGAAGAATATTTTTTTTTTTATTAACTGAAGATTTTTATTTTAGCTCATAAAATTCATACAAATTACCCGGCCAGAATATAATTTACATTGCTGGAATTCTTACAATTTGATGATCATTTTGAATATAAACATCATATATTTTGCATTAGACATAAAATTTTTAGATAAAATGTTCACTCTGAGTAAGTATGTTATCTTTTGTGCAAAATATATGACGTTTATATTCAAAATATTCCTGGTCTTACAAGGAATCCAGCAATGTCAATTATATTATCCTAACTTTAATCTGAGGTATTATTTAATACAAAATGTTAAAATTAATTTTTTTCACCCACTCTTTCTCTTGAAGGGAGTATTGGTGGGGGGTGGGGGGAGGGTTGGGACTGACCGGGCGGTTGGAAGAGGGGGGGAGGCAAGGTGGGGTACTTTGATTGACAGATAGTGTCGTGAAGAATATATTTTTTTTTTATTAACTGAAGATATTTGTTTTAGCTCATAAAATTCATACAAATTACCCGGCCAGAATATAATTTACATTGCTGGAATTCTTACAATTTGGTGATCATTTTGAATATAAACATCATATATTTTGCATTAGACATACAAATTTTAGATAAAACATTTAATCTGAGTAAATATGTTATCTTTTGTGAAAAATATATGACATTTATATTCAAAATATTTCTGGTCTTACAAGGAATCCAGCAATGTCAATTATATTATCCTAACTTTAGTTTGAGGTATTATTTATTACTATACCTGGTTTTCCCCCCAAAATTTCTCAGAGGGAAGAGCCAGCAGTGTAGTGTGAGAAGAGGGGGAGGGAGTCGTGTCCATTATTTGAATGGACATTAACTTGGCGACTGTATTTCTCTATTTCTCTTAAGTATTAATTGTGTGCATGTACCATCATAAAATTAAGATGTTATTTTTACTACAACATAGTTATGTGTCGTCAAAAAGTGGAGTTTGGGGATCGGCCTGGACTCCATTTCAATTAATCCCATATGTTATGTTATTCACTTTACGCGTTTCCGGTACCCTCCGGGTATTAACCGCAAAGTGAGGGTTAATATATATATATATATATATATATATATATATATATATATATATATATATATATATATATATATATATAAATCTTTTTCCATCTGTTCAAAATAAATTTGAATAGGAAAGAAAATACTTGGATTTCTAATAGTAATGTATTCGAATACAAATGCCCTGAAATGCTGTATTTGAATGCATTTAAATAAAAATACCAAACATGAATACTCCATCCCTGCCTATGGCTGATTATTTTTATTTATTTATAGCAATAAATATTGTTATTGTATCACAAAGCCTTTTAAACTAATATTGGTCAAATTATTTTTTTAAATTTAATAACTTGCCAGATACTGCCTGTTGTCACATGTGCCATCTGACAACAGGCAGTATCTGCTAAGACACACTTGCCATACACCAGTTAAGACTTACCTGCACCCATACCAGCCAGAAAAGCACAACCTAGAGCTGAAACATCTATGGACTTTGGTCTCTCTAGCCTCTTCCCTGTCAGGGTCGAGATCATCTGCATCAAGAAGTCATTCTGTGCAACACCCCCATCCACCCTGAGGGGTAAATCTTTACTGCATATCATAACACAAAAGCATTGAAAATAGAGACACACACATCACCACACCATAACCATATTCATAATTTAAAGCACAAAAACCAAGTTATTATTTACTGCAGAGAAGATACCAGTAGTTGCCAAGTGCAAGATAAGAAGGCAAGAAAGTTATGAGAAAATTAAAGATACCGAGAACAGTTGACACCAAAGCAATATTGACAGGGTGTTACAATATTAAATACAGTGGAAAAAACACAAGATCTTTGAGAAGTGGGTAAAAAATTAAAAATAAACAAATTAAATTAAAAGATATAGTATAATGAACAGAAGTAATTAGAAGTAGTAAGTAGGATTGCAGTTAAGATTTTGTTCACAGAAATTAAAAAGAAAAAAGGAAGAAGAAAAGATTCCATAATACCCGGTAATTAAAAGAACATATTGTATGGAGGAAAGAATGTTATCAATTTAAGTCAATCAACGAAGATTGCATATCAATGTCGGTTTAATGTTATATATTCCACAAGAATTTATAGTTTATGAAAGACCAAGCAAACACAGGTACAGGTAATATGAAAAATACAAATTTCATATTTAGAAACATATATGAAAGAACATTTGATTTTTTGTATGTTAATGCATTAGACATAGGATATCATTTGTGAAAATTTATCAGGCAGTTATTCATTATCAGAGGGTCACACAGGAGGGATGGTTTAATTTACCACAATCCAGGGCAAATAGTTCAATTATTGTTTGCCCAATTTGTTTTGGATCCAAAGTTGGATAGCAAAACAACAGTCAATGACAGGAGGCAATTATCAGTCACAAAAAACACAAGTACACATGATAATTATGAAACATTAACCAATATTTATTTTAACAAATACATTTCAGCAAATGAAAAAAGATAAAACCAAAGCCAACCACAAAAAATGTAAATAAATATAAATAAAAGCATCAAAATCATAAAAAAATCCTCTCATAACATGTATGATATTAAAGAGAACCAGACACACAACTCAAATTATGTACAAATGAAAAAATGTACAAACATAAGGATGTAGGAAATATTTAATGCATATAAATGAGTGACAGTTTTCATAAATAATATTATACATATGAATACCCACAGTCATGCATAGAGGACGATATAACCATGGCGAGCAGTGAATCACCCGCAGAGAGGCAGCAACAACAGCACCACACAGGGGAGGAAAATGAGAAAAAAAAAGGCTTAAGATTTAGGTAATAAAAGATCCTGATTACATTAAATAAACAATACCACATAATGACTTAAATGATCAAACTCACAACAATGATCAGTACCCATGTCAATAACTTATACACCATTTAACAAAATCATATAAAACCTGAGAAACTGCTTAGGTTCATGATGCTATTGATCAGGGCTTGACTGGATAAATACCGTTAAAATAAACAGGTTCACTGATTTTGACATTTGTATATTGTTTTAAAAATCATTAAGTATTTTTTTTGTGTGAAGACAAACCTGCATACAAAGTTAGGTTAAGAACCATCCTTTATAACATAAAATGTCACACAGAATGTGGAGAATAGTGACAGCAACCTTGAGTTTTAGCTTAAGGGGAGCGTCCGGCTGAAGCACGAAATTTGTTAATACGTAATTGATCAATCAGTATCAATTTCCTGTCAGCAATTAAAGAAACAAGATACATTGTTGCTATACCCCTGAATCGGTTCTGCCTAATCTCTAATCCCTGATACCTGATATTTCCCATATATTATTATCAATTTTCAAAATCTTACCTCTCCATAACTTCTCGTTAGATTACATTGAAATTCATTTGACTTATAGGAATTTAATACTCTTGAACATAACACAGATATTTCTGATTATCACTTTCGATTTGGGTGCATGAATTTTTTTTCCTAACTTACCATATTTTCCTCTAAATATTTATAAGGATAAATCAGCAAATAATAAACAAAGTCAAATATCAAGAAAATCTCTATCATGCACAATATGTTATTACACTACTATACAGTATAGTCTCAATTTACGCGGATTTCCTTTACGCGATTGGTCATTTACGCGGCACCTGGCCAGACGCGGCAATTATTAGTTACGAGGTACATTACATCATTTACGCGGGAAGCGGAGTGGGAGGGTGCGCCCTAGGTCGCCCAGTCAACAAAACATTACCGAGTTCTTCAGCCACCACCCACCACAGCCAGCCCAAGTCAGTGATAGTGAGGATATGGACTTTGAGGGGTTTGACAAGGAGGCCTTGCTAGCCTCTGTGGTGGATAGTGATACAGGTGATACAAGTGATACAGGTGAGGGCCAATAATCTGCCCTCTGCCTCGGAAACAACCCACCATCCCCATGTGCCCAGCCATCTCTTCTACTAACGTAAGTGTTAAATAACCTAATATTATTGATATTTCTCTTAAATATTAATTGTGTGTGCATATCATCATAAAATTAAGATGTTATTTTTACTACAACGTACGCATTGTGTCGGAAAAAGGGTAGTCTGGGGGTCGGCCCAGTCTCTATTTCAATGAATCCATTATGTTCTGTTATTTCGTTTACGTGTTTCTCGTTTTACGCGGACCTCCATGGGTTTAATTGATCGCGTAAACCGAGACTATACTGTAGTTTTTGTTTTATTAAAATCGGCCCACAAATGGCCGAGCCTTAGGGATTCAAATGTTAGAAAAACTAATTTTGTGATACGAGCCGATAAAGGTGGCGTGAGAGCAACTCACGATCGTACCTCACTCTTGCATGTTTGATGGGGAACTGACTCTCGTCCTGTTGCTAGCTAGCTGATAAAGGTGCCAGACACTGACTTTTACCAAGTGATTGGTATTACTTTACACCAAAATATTATTATAAATACTTTTCTACAGCTTTTGCTATAAAAACAGAAGGGGGGGGGGAGTAGAACAATCATGCATAGTTACATAAATATTACGAATTAGGCAATCAAAATATGTCAGCAGATAGCCATACGCAACAGCTTTCCTCAGGAATTTTTCTGAATATTTTTGTAATTTTACGATTTTCATCGTATTTTCAGCTGGACGCTCGCCTTAAAAACCTGAAAATAAATATGTCTTACTTAATGTCAGACAAGTGCTCCAATTTTGGTTGAGACTATCAACTATGACAACTAATGTATTGAAAAAAAATATATATATATACTATATATTTATGCCCCATGGGTCATTTAACAGGCAACTTATGAGAAAAACTGTTTTTGCCCAGAGGACTATGTGTGGTCAGAAGTAGGAAGACTCTCTCATCAGATCATTGTTATTTGCTGTGTAACAGTCTAGTTGAACTAGGGCTTATGAGACAACCTCCATTCCAAATCTGACTGTGCTTTGAATAGCCAGTGAATTAACAGATACAGTAAATCCTACCCAATCCAAGTTTTACCAGTTCACAGTTCAATAATTATTCCACAATTTGTGCAGAATTTGCATCAAAGGTGACCTCTTCCATGGGAAAAGGCCATAAAATACACTGGAAAATATCCAATATACTCTGTACTTCATGAAATAATTTAAAGTATTTTTTCGATGGGGATGATATAATTTCATTAAGTACACATGAGTCATGTATACATTAATACTGCATAAAAATATACATTATAATGTACAGATAAACCTCTATTTACAATGGGTGTAGGTTCCTGAAAACCCCATCGCAGGTTGAAATATCATAAATCAGGTTCATTATAACATGGGGGTTCAATGGGATAGGCTCCTGGCACTACAACACAATTAAACAACACCCACCACACCACTAAGAACAAGTCTGGTCATCATCACATGTCCCCTTCAAGGCTAAGGGGACTCTTGAAGGTGGAGTGGAGACGTCACTCTGACTTCCACACAGCCTCTGGCATGTCTCATGGCACTTCACAATGTCAAGCTTCACCTCCAGAGACATGGTTTTCCTGGATGCCTTGGCCTTCCCAGACATTTTCAAAATTACACTGCTCACATCACAGTCACAAAAACAGGGGGAAAGCACTTCACAGTCACTAAAGCAGAGAAAAGCACTTCACAGTCAGTGTAAAAACACTACAGTCACTAAAGCAGGGGAAGTACTTCACATTCAGACCAAAAGCCCCTAACAGTTACTAAAGCAGGGAAAGCACTTCACAATCAGTGCAAAAACACTTCACAGTCACCAAACCAGAGTACAAAGTAAACTTTAGTGAAGTCCTCTTACTGTAAGGGGGAAAAAGGTCTATGATAAAAAAAAAAAAGAACAATGAAAACTGATAAACATTGAGCTTCATTTCTTACACACACATGTAACCAGGAAGAAACAATGGCTGAGCTGTAGTTCACCAATGTTCACAAGGTGGTGTTCGGGTAGATGATGCCTCAATTGACTGATGAAGTGAGTGATGCGTTCCATACGCCGATTTGGCAAAATGGCGGGATGACGAAAATCATTAATGTGAGCTTGTTTACAACACAAACGTGAGAGTGGTCTTAACATATTTGCATCATTAATGCAAATTATCATAGATTGAGATATCATAAATATATATTTACCTGTACATATATACTTAGCAGGGGCAGATCCAGGCACCAGTCTTGAGGAGGAGGGTGATGTAGCAGTAGCACATATCCAAGTTTTGTGCCAAAAGCACTAGACAATAATCTAGGGGGTCTTTAGTGAGTGGCAGCTGTCACGAAAAGTATCACGATGTATAGCATGTACATATGACTGTATTAAAATATTAAGTAATATATATTCTTATAACCCTGGTTATTTCAACGAGAAAATCAGGTAAATCAGCAAGGAAATGACAAAGATATATATAAAACCTGCAAAAGGGGGAAAGTTGTATTTTCTAAACTACAGTTTGTATGAATACCAAATGTAATGAAAAACTCGCTATGTAATTTAATTATTACTTTACTGAGTGAAAACAATTATAATTTATAGGCTCACCACCCACAAATACCAAACCTTATCATTTGTCACCAAAACCACCTCTTGCACCACAACAGCAACAAGGGCTCAGCATTTGACAGTTACAGCCCGCCTCAATTCACAGGCTCATTAACTCGCCACAAACAATGAGTACAAAGTGTTTATAGTTTTCATGGCTTCTAAATTTTCTATCTTCAATTTCATAAGAAAGGGAACTGATTTCTGCCATTATTTTCAGGGTTTCTAGCCACAGGAATTGATCAGGGACTGAGTCGGAAGTGGTGAAACAGAAGTCAAAGAAAAAAATTTCTCCTAGTGGCTACAATGAAATGCTGGGGAACCAGGCCACCACTACCAGTTTGAGGATGAGATACAGAGGGAGGTCATGGAAGGATAAGACAAACCTGGAGAAAGCAAGGATGAAGATGAGGAGGAGACAACAGGCAAGTCATCACCCAAACTTTGTCATGAGAGAGTTTAGACCAAATATCAGAGTGGCTAGAATAATATGATGAGGATCAAGACCTCCACAAGCACTACTCCTTTTTCCAAGAATGTAGGAACAATACTGTGGCGAGGGAACACAAGAGGATATGGCAACCAAAAAGCCTTGAGTTTTTCAAGCCACATCCCTCCAAGGCAAAACATCCCAGGACAGAGAGAGAGGAGTCTCTCACAGAAAGTGTTGGGAACACTCGGTCTCTGGGTAGTGCTTCCAGACCAGCCTCACCACAAACCTTCACATTCTTCTTCGGATAAAGCTACCACTTTATGACACCAGAGCCTCCTCAAGATATATATTAACCTGGAATCTGTACAATACAATCGCAATAATTACGGGTTAGGTATAGTACCAAAAAATACACATAAACTGCTCCAAAACTGCTTCAATAAACAATAAATATAATACATAATACATATAAAATACAATAACACACCCCAGTAGATATTGTACAAAAAGTAGTTCTTTATTACACAAGAGGTCCTTTCCTTCTCATAATCATCCTCTAGGTGACACCAGTACAGGGGGATCTCGTTATACATGCATTCTTTATACGAGAATTCGGTGATACGAGGTTAAGGAATTTGCACCATATATTCGCTATACAGTACGAGCGATATTGTTCGATGATACGAGAAGCAGGTACAGTGACCGCTGGGATTAGTTATACTACAGACTTTTTCCTGTGAAAAAGCCATAATTTTGAGCAACATATTACTGTACTCACTCTGTACTTAAATGTACTGAGCTAAAGTACTAAAATTTTTATCTCTTGTGCAAACTATAGGATGTTTATACTCAAACTAATCGCTATCTTGCAAGGATTTCAAGAATGCAAGTTATATTCTGCTAAGTTAAGTCTGTGACATTTTATAAGAAGAAATTTTACTTTAAGCCTAAAAGTACCTTCACCCTGGCTAGGAGGATGGGGGAGGGAGAGGTGGGGTGTTGACACAGCCAGGCAGTGAAGGTTACCAAGTGTGTATTTATCAGTCATATAGAGGGAGTTTAAGTTTCTCATTTATAAAATGTCACTAAATTGACTTGGCAAAATATATCTTACATTGCTAGAATTCTTGAAAGATAGTGATTAATGTGAATATAAACATCAAATAGTTTGCGCTAGACATAAAAATGTTAGTAATTAACTTGGTACATTTGAGTACAGGTTTGCCCCTAGGACAATTATTTCTTTTAAATTTTTCACAATACAGGCATCCCCCGCGTTACGGAAGGGTTCCGTTCCCGGAAAATTGACCGTATCGCGAAATTCCGTAACGCGAAACCTATTTTCCCATTGACTTCCATTATAAAACTGGAGATGCGTTCCTAAGGAATTTTTTTGGCCCCAAAAAAGTAATTCAAGCACTTTTATTAATGAAAATAAACATTTATAAAAACATACAATACAGTACATTAAATAATTTATGATATACCTTCTTAAAACACCAATTTAGGGGTTAATATTGCATAATATTGCATTATACAGCTATGTGTATGTTTATTTGAGTGCCCTGTCATAGGAGTCCGTTTTCTCTCACTTCAGCACTCCTGAGTCATCCATTTTCTCTTAATCTTAAGAGTGCACCAGGGACTATTATTTTTTAGTGGTGACACAGAATTTGATATTGCAACTGGGGTTGCAATTGTTGAGGCAACTTAGGTATGTCTGATTACAGTTGGAATATTCAAGATCCATTGTGAGTGATGTTTAAAGCTTCAACTGTCTTTATGGTTGGTGAAACTTGTCAAGTCTGTCAGTCTGAAAGGCATGTGTGAGGCCTTGTGTTTGTTAAAATTTACCCCAATTTCTGTAAGGGAGGATTTACGGGCCGCAACACGAAATTATTGGTCATAATTTACAAATTCTGTAAGAGCAAAATTCCGTAACACGGGGGATGCCTGTGTATTTAGGATGGTGTGTGCATGTAACCGAATAAACATAAATGAAGAAAGTTACGTATATCTTCCCAAAAATAGAAGTTGAAAAACAACCATAATGCCTCACAGCTTGGTCCAGTAGCCTGCCTAGTGGTTAGTGTGACAAGTCTAACTTGGCTACAGTGCTGCTCAGTAACTCATCTGGAGTTGAGTGTGGGATTTTTTTTTTATTAACCTGGCACCAAATGAACCTAAAGCAGCTACTTTACAGTCACCTAACGAATAGTAAACGTAACGCTGGCGGGCAACTGAAAAGGTATAAGGGTAGTCTTAAAACAAACATGAAAAAGTGCCAAATCGACCCCCTCACCTGGGAGATGATTACTCCACACCGCAACTCTTGGAGGAGCACCACACGAGAAGGTGTCAATACTTTCGAGTTAGCCCGACTGCAAACTGAAGCAGACAAGCGCCAACGCCAAAAAGACGCTGCCGCTACCTCCCTTCCCGCACTAGATGGAGCCTTCTACATGTGCAACATCTGTGAACGTCACTGCTGGTCCTGTATCGGCCTCTTTAGTCACCTTAAAACTCGTTAATAAGTCATACCATCGTATTATAGTTGGATGATCGTCATACTCAAATCCCGAGTGACAGCAAAGTAGTAATAGTAGTGTGTGAGTGTGTGTGTCATATGGATGATGCAACATGCTTGTTTTCTGCTCTTCCCAGGAGGATTACCACCACCATTGTTTGAATTACTTTAACTAAAGTCTTACCATTTTCTGTAGTTGAATGCATGAACTTAAAGCCTGGGCTGACATTTTTCCATAATAATCTACATTTATTCATTGCTAGTGTACAATATGAATTACTACACGTCCACTCATCATCTTTTTCTGTGTTGGTGGTGACTCGGTGAGTCAGCTAATGAGTATTAAACAATATTCATACATTCTCAAGCAGATTGTAGAACTATTCAATATAAAACCTTTCAAATTTGTAGGATCTTTTTAAGAAGTCTCCTTCACTTACGCATGAAGCAAAATTATCTCTAGCCCGATGAACTCGTGATTTTTCATTCTGATTCATCGTAAAGATTGGTCACTCGCCCGTGGGCAGCCTTGTTTGGTGACATTCCTACCCAGTACACATGGAAAAGCTCTTCTATTATCTATACTATGTATAAGTAAACAATTTACAGTATGAAACAATCATATCAGTGAAAACAGTTATTGACACCCAGACTTATGTCTGATTATCCAGAAACAGTCTAGATAAAGCAGGGTTATGTCCTTACCTCCATATATTCACTTTTTTTGGACTCCATTTTCCGGACTGGGGTGTGCCCCAATTAGTCTGGTTTATTGAGATTCTACTGTATAAATATTTCTTTTAAACCAAGAAAAAAGAATGGGGCACCTTTCAAGAAACTTGCCCATGGTGCAAAAATGCCTTACTGCGGCTTTGTCTGTAACCATTGCTCGGCATTAATTTCATAGGAAACTTCTGCTTAATACAGTACATGTACATCACGACCATGAATGTCTACAAATCCCGTGTCATAGCACTGTAAATTATCATACCTTGCCATGGTATGATGGTCTTACCAACAAGCTTATATTATGTTCATTCTAAGAAAGTTACTTTGGTATTTATTTTTGCAGAATAAAATTACTAGAAAGTTCACAGTCTGGTGTTACAATAATCTGGATATATATTACATGTATTCGTTATTTCTTGTACAGTACCACTGTATTGCATAGTTAAGTGTTGCCTGCTCCTACAAAAATAAGTGATTCCTGAAAAGGGTACCTAAGTTTACAACTTGGGGAAGTGAATATGTTCAAGCAAAGTACTGGCCATGCTGCCTCCTTGTGTACTGAAGGCTTAGTATAAAGTGTGCTGAATCCACTCTGTCACTAATGGGCAGTCATGCCTATGAGACCCACTTTCACTTTCAATCATGTGGAATATGCACAATATATCTGTATGGGGCAATATTCAAACACTACAAAGAATATCAGGTGCTCACCTAAAAAATAAGGATCAGATAATACAATCAGGTAAATGTCAACTCATGTGCAACGAAAAGGGATAAAAATTGTGTTTATTAAATTTCATGGTGATCATACCTGAGACTAAGAAGCTCGTAGTCTGCTTCATTGAGCATGGCGCTGTACATCTGGTATATGCGGAATGCTAGAGACTCCAGCATGGCCCGTACCATGTGTGCACGACTGGTGTGTGCGCTAAGCCCAAGGAAGCCACCTGTAGCTGTTGCATCATTCAAGGGTGCCTGGGAAAATTTCAAGCCTTACTGTGATACAAGGTATTGTACTAAAGGACTTAGGAAAGGTTCTACAAGCACTATAAGTTACATTTTAATAAAGCTCATAATCAATCTAACTAGAGTCTATTACCTTGGTTCTAATCTTAATTAAATGGGGGTGGAAGAAATACACTTACAAATAAATTAAAATAATGAATTTTTCATTTCATGAAGTAAAACAAAAACCAAATAATTAAGATTTCTATACTGTCTCAATACTCCACAGCTATTTACTTTGGCTACTAAGATGACTTAATGAAACAATCTTAACCCATGAATTCTTTCACTTTCCAACTCTGTCTCTGCTATGCTTAGCCTCTTATCATTCCTCTTGTTTACTCCACTGGTACACTGTATGCATAGCCTCCTATCATATATCTTTGTTTATTACACTGGTACACTGTATGCATAGCCTATCATATATCTTTGCTTACTCCACTGGTACACTGTATGCATAGCCTCCTATCATGTATCTTTGTTTATTACACTGATACAGTCTCTTCCACTTCCAACTGGTACAATCAGCATTGTCAATGCACCCTCTCTGTCTGATGTGAACCCTGGGAGTATCGACTCTTGAATCCGAAGCATTCATGGGTGAGGGAGAGAGGGAGGCCAGAAGAGGACTGGAGCCAGTGTATGAGTGGGTGGCGGGGTAATGCAGGGGTTGAGAAGGGTCAGAGTGTAAGGGTGGGTGGGAGGGGGGTGGCCTAGAAGGGTGGGGAGAGTTAAGCAGTTTCCAGTGCAGTTACAACACAGGATATATTAAGCAACGTTATAAATACATAGGACAAAACACAAAGTATGAGTACAACGTGGTACTGCACAGTGGGATGGTATTCCCAGTTTGTGCTATAGGTCTGAACCATATACAGGTATGCATATTTATGGTCCAGAATTTATGAAATCGTTGGTCACTGTGATAACACGACAATCCTCCAAGTCGCATACCGCATATCTCGGCCTATAAGACGGAATTTGAACCATAAAAAAATCAGCCCAAAGTTTGGGGTCGTCTTAAGCACCAGATCTAAAATTCTTACCTCTTAAATATTGCGGTTTAGTGTGTCAAGGGTGGTGATGGAAACATGGTAAACCACTCACAAGGTCCTACCACTAATTATTTTATACTGAAACTTACGTTTGGGAAGCTGGATTAAAATGAAGATTACCGGTATATTAAAATAATAAAAATGTATTATAAACCTGTCTAACATACCGTAAAAGAACAATATACCCCGGTAATAAACACAGCTGCTATCATCCCCCCCCACCATTTGCCAGTGGCAAGAAAGGGAAAGTGACCTTGACTGTGACCGCCTGTGGCTATTTTTAGCCGTCCTTGTGTTCGGAGGTGGTCAGTAATGCATATCTGTATATTTACTGATCATAATACTTATCTCCTATAAATAATTCATTTAAAATTTGTTTTTTTACAAAGAATAGTCAGTAAATGACTGTGTTAATTCTTGAAACTACCGACAGTGGTAAATTTAGGATATAAATGATGAACAGAAGTCACGTCATGGATTCGGAGTTTGGTCCTTAATGATCACCATAAATGTCTGGTCAACTTCACCTACCAGGTATAATGGTAGCCTCCCTTTTCCGCAAAACAAGTATATAATTAAAGAAAATACTTGCAGTGTGTACAGTATATTATAAATAAATAAATAAACAAATAAATCGGCAAATCTATTTCAAGTGAATGGAAATATTTTACTCACACCCACATTAGTTCCAGTTAAATAACTGACGCTTAAGTGAGTCACTAGTAAAATTTGATGCCAATACTTGAAGTGAATTGGCCTTATTTTAAATAACCAACCATAAATAAATGCAAAAAGGAAAAAAGATCAAAGGTGAGAAACATTATATTGTATGTATGTTGTGTTGTCAAAGGAAGAGAAACAATTGAAACTCTGTAATTGTGTGTAAATGAGGCAGAAAGATAGACCAGCAGCCTAAGACTTGGTCACAATTTTTGTGATGCCATATGGAAGTAGGATCTACCATTAGACAATACTGTACATTATGCTTCCAATATCTTCCCAGGCGGTAGTATCTCCCTGTTTGGTAGCTGCCTACAACTTTTAGTAATATTACTTTGATACAACATGATAAATTAGACAAACAATGAAAATAAACAAACAAAAGTTATTTACCAAGACCTTTTCTTTGAGAACAGAGGGTAAGATATGGAGGGGAGATAAGAAGGCTATTTATAGCCTGTCTTTGTGTAGGAAGTCGACCACACTATAAATAATTCATTTAAAATTTTTATTTTTTACATAGAATATTCAGTACATGACTGAGATTATGAAATATTGTGAATATATATATATATATATATATATATATATATATATATATATATATATATGTAATATATATATATATATATATATATATATATATATATATATATATATATATATATATATATATATATATATATACTCTGAATTACCCATACTTGTGATTGAGTGAACCCAGAGGGTCAGCGTTAAGTAATTTCAACAAGACTTATATAGGATTAATTCAATAGAAACGGCCACGACCCCCAAACTCCACTTTTGAAGGCACATACCTATGTTTTGTAGTAAAAATAACATCTTAATTTTATGGTAGTACATGCACACAGTGTACTTAAGAAGCCAGAAATACAGTCGCCAAGTTAATGTCCATTCAAATAATGGACTCAACTCCCTCCCCCCTCTTCTCACACTACACTCACTGTCTTCCTCTCAGAGAAATTTTTTGGGAAAACCACTAAATTTTAATAAATAATGCCTCAAACTAAAGTTAGGATAATACAATTGACATTGCTGGATTCCTTGTAAGACCAGGAATATTTTGAATATAAATGTCATATATATTTTGCACAAAAGATAACATAGTTACCTAGAGAAAAATTTTATCTAAAAATTGTATGTTTAGTAAAATATATGATGTTTATATTCAAATAATCCTAAATTATAAAATTCCAGCAATGTAAGTCTCCTGACGGGTAATTTGTATGAATTTTATGAGGTAAAACAAATATCTTCAGTTAATAAAAAAAAAATAATCTTCGCGGCACTATCTGTCAATCAAAGTACCCCACCTTACTTGCCCCCTCTTCCAACAGCGGTCAGTCCCAACCCTCCCCCCACCCCCACAATCCTCCTTCCAGAGTTTTTTAACATTTAGTGATAAATAATACCTCAGATTAAAGTTAGGATAATATAGTGAGCATTGCTGGATTCCTTGTAAGACCACAGGAATATTTTGAATATAAATGTCATATATTTTGCACAAAAAGATAACATAGTTACCTAGAGAAAAATTTTTATCTAAAAATTGTATGTTTAATGCAAATATATGATGTTTATATTCAAAATGATCCTGAATGTAAGAATTCCAGCAATGTAAATTATATTCTGACCAAACAATTTGTATGAATTTTATGAGCTAAAACAAATATCTTCCCAGTTAATAAAAAAATAATTCTTCACTTGGGGTAACAGATGGTCGGTCGGTCCCTCCTCCCCACCCCCACCACCAACCGTCCCAAGGAGATGTGTGGGATAACCACTAAATTTTAATAAATAATACCTCAAACTAAGTTAGGATAATATAATTGACATTGCTGGATTCCTTGTAAGACCAAGAATATTTTGAATATAAATGTCATATATTTTGCACAAAAGATAACATAGTTTTCAATTTTTATCTAAAATTGTATGTTTGGTAAAATATATATGATGTTTATATTCCAAAATAATCCTAAATTATAAGAATTCAGAAATGTAAATTATATTCTGGCGGAAATAATTTGTATGGAAGATTTTATGAGCTAAAACAGGCAGTCAGGCAGGGGCTGGCGGGTGGGGCAAATCTAAATATAAGCGTCTCGAGCGGACACTCACAGCGTATATGTGGAAAAATCCGTGTTAAGTGAAAGTTCAGCTCTGGCGAGAGCTTTTGGCGTACGATAAAAGCAGCGTTAAATTGAAGCAGCGTTAGAGGGAAGGTAGTAATACTGTGTGTGTATATATATATATATATATATATATATGTATATATATACTATATATATATATATATACTATATATATATATATATATATATATATATATATATATAAATATATATATATATATATATATACAGTTGTACCCACTTACTTGTAGTCAATTGAACTAGAAGAGGGTCCTTTAAAGTGAAATCAGCGTTAAGTGAACAACAGAACATATGGGATTAATTCAATAGAGCCAACCCGACCCCCAAACTCCACTTTTTGACGACACATAACTATGTTGTAGTAAAAATTCTATCTTAACTTTATGATGGTATGAAAAACCGTATAGAAGAGGTTAGGTTAGGAAAGATAAAAAAAAAAGGGACAGCATAGGAAAATGAAGGTTACCTAAGAGAAACTAAAAGTTAGGTGGAACACTTACGGTAGTAGAAGAGATGGGTAGGCATGCGGGGATAGGCTGGTTCGAGGCAGAGGGCGAGATTACTGGCCCTCAGGGTACAGATCACCATTACTAGGTGAATCAACATCACTGTCTTACAGTTGTCAGGCCCAGCACCTGACAAATCCCTCAAAGTCAACTTCACTTTCACTATCACTGGCTTGGGCTGGCTGTGGTGGGTTGCGGGCGAAAAGAACTTCGGTTATGCTTTGCTGGCGGCTGGTGTTGATGTTGTGAAGTGATACACCTTGATGTACGGCTCCATAGCCTGCACCAGTCGGGTATGGAAGTCTTCATAGCGTTCATCGTCATTGTCGCTGAGAAAGAGGCCGGACTTAATTTTTCTGTAAACTCTATGACACTTAATATCACTATGACTTAAATTAGGTTCTTGAGGAGAATGGCGCACCTTCTTCCTCCTCTTCACTGGCGTGTTTCTTCATCAACATCTGCGTCGGAAGTCGCTGGGATCTTTGATCACCTCCAGGATGTCTTCGTTGGTG